CCAACTGCCACCTTGCTGCTTTGCTGCTAGTAGCCCTCACTAAGGGAGGACACTAATATTTATTGAGCACCTACTGTGTACCAGGCATGATTGTTCTGCATGTGACTGATGACCCAATCCTTCTCGGTTAAGACATGCTTTTGTCACTATTGTTACTTTGGAAAAAGCTGGGGCTCAGAGATAGGACACAACTTGGGGAGACCAATTTAAAATAAAGATGCAGGTCTCCTTATTAAAAAATTGTTAAGAATTTCGAGAGGGTGACAGTGAGGGACTGACAGCAGGGCCTTGGAGACTGCACAGTCCCCATCCAGGACTCACAGAGGTTAAGTAGTTCAAGGCTAAGTTCAGATTCAAATGTAGACCTGAGTCCTAAACATATGTTCCTCCTTCAGCACTGCCCATCCCTCTGACCTACTGGTTGCCTCAAGCATGACTTTGTGTGAGCCCCCCACCTCCACTGAGGTCTAGTCCCATGGCTCTGGGGCCCCCTGGGGTTCCAATGCCCTGGTCAGGCAGACTTTGGAGACCAGTGGTAGTACAAAGCCTGACTTGCCCCCATAATCACCCAGATTCCTTCTCTCCATGGATGAACACTCCAGCTCAGCTCCAACCCCCACTACCACTGAGCACTGGGAAAGCCCAGACCCGCCAGACTGGGGCATCTTTGTGGCGGTTTCTCTGAACACTGGTACAGCATAAGGGGGATGTCAAGGTTTGCTATGATATATGGTAAAAACTGTGGCACTCCCACCAGGGGCTGTAAGTCAAAAGTTACAGGCGAGCTTCAAGATTAATAAATTTGGGAGGGAAGTATTAATGACTACACAGGGGCACCATGAACTTGGCAGGTCCCAGAGCCTGGAACTTTGCAGTCTGGATATTAAAAATGATTTGTGCTGGAGCAAGTCTAAACAGAAGCTGGTCGGCATTAGTCTGACTGTGACCTGCTGGCAACTGTTGAGACTGCAGGAGCCATTGGCACCCAACCCCCTACTCAGCCACCCTCCCCCAGCCACGAGGAGATGCTGTCCCTCCTCCCCAGGCTGCCTTGACTCATCCACTCTGGTTTTGGAAAAAGGCAGGTTAATCTCAGGGTGGCTGTGTGCACAATGGCCTCAGGGGCCCATCTGGCCTGAATGTCAGACTTAGCAACAAACGCTGCCCTTTTCCAACCCTCCAGTGGCTCAGAGTGCCCCTAGCTTGTCTGACCATAATTTCTAATGTCATGGAAATCCCTCCCTGGACATGCTCTTGGTCAGAGAGGTCAGCCCCAGGATGCCTGTCTTGCTGGCCATTCCAGACTGTGGATCACAAGGATCCATGCCTCTCAATAGCACCCAGTGTGTCTCCCCTTTGCCTCCCAGAGCTGCTGGCCACTCATTGGTGGCTCTGGTGGTTGGCTGTGAAGTGAAGGATCAAGCAATGCAGTGTGGGCAGATGGCTGAGTAGGCTGGTCCAGGTGCAGGGCAGGTTTGCATCTAGGGAGCTGGGAGGTACCCTGGGATGTCACTGAAGAGAGAAAGGAGAGCAGAGTGGGATTCCAGAGCTAAATGGGAGGGGCATTTGTAACTTGCTGGGAGTGGGACAGACTTGGCCTTTCTACAGGAGGGCTGGGTTGGCCTTGTTCAGATACCCCCAGCTTCCAGGGAGGTGGGTGGAGTCAGTGCAGACCCCATGCCATTCTGGTTGGGGAGACACTGTGGACCAAGTCTACCCTAAGTGGGAATCAAATTGAACCCAGCTTTCTCTCTTCTGCATTATCTCCCTCCTCCTCCTGGAAGCTGCCTTACTGTGAGAATTGCAGAGGGAGGAGGAGCAGGACAGAGAGACAAGGACTCAAAAGTATTACAGAACTTTTAGAAAGTGTGGGGTTTTGTAAAGGCAGGATTTACGAGCTGACCCTCCAAGCTCAGATCCCGGCTTCCTGTGGACCCAAATGTGCCATCAGGGGTCCAAGTTCTGTAGGTCACTGGCTGAGGGACAACAATGGCCATGTTATCAATACAAGAGCAATGACCCTGATGAGAAAGTGTGGCTGCCCAGGAAGTGCTCACTTGGGCTAAAGTTTCTCAAGAAAGAATGGCATTGGGTAGGTTTAAGTTCCAGGTGAGCTGCAGCCACACAAGGGGCCTTGAGCAACATGGAGTCCCCTCCCTGCTGTTGGCAGAGCAAGGGGGCCATGAAGTAGGGGCAAGGCTGAGGTCACGGAGCTGAGCAAAGTCAACACTGTGCCAGTCTTGTCCACAGATAATGAAGGATGAATGAGGAAGATGAAGAAGGGGATCGTTTCAAGACCTACTTAGGTAGTAAAACCCACAGGAATTGGTGATGGGTTGTGGGTAGAGATCTACAAAGGCTTAGAAACCTGGAGTAAAGGCAGAAATCAAACAAGCTGCAGTTGAACACAGTAATGTTAAGTTCCATGTGGGGGAACAAAAAGTCAGTTGTCCCAGGATGGGCTGCAGGGATACAATGCTCATCAGAGCCATGTGGGGACACATGGGCCTGGGTCAGCTGTCAGCTCAGGTCAGACAGCCACTACAAAGCCCAGAAGCCTTCCAGCTGCATCATGGGGGGTCTCCGGTTCAGAACAAGTTGTTCTTGTTCTGAACAAGGGGTGACTCTTTGGTGTTCCGCCCTGGCCTTGTAGCTCCTCAAGAACTGTGTTCAGTTCTGAATGTCATTCTGAGAAGGACCAGGTTATTGAAGAGTTCAGGAAGGGGCAGTAGAGGGGCAACAGGAGAACCTATGCCCTGAAGACTAGCTTTGGGATACAGGTGACAGTCTTGGGGAAGAAAACACTCCTACTCACTAAAAAAGATGTCCTGGCTGAGAGGGCACACACCAGACCTGTGCATAAAACTGTGACCAAGAGGCAAGGTGGGTGCCAGGGCAGACCTCAGCTGGGGCTGATGGAGAATTTTCTAACAGGCAAAGCTGTTTGGAGGTGGAGGAGGGGATGGCCTCAGAGGTACTGAGCACCTAGTCTTGGCGGTAAGCAAAAGCTACACCTAGGTTGATAGAAGGGATTCATGTATCAGCTGTACTCAGAAGTCCTTCCAAGCCCCCAAATCCTATGGTTCTAAGATCTGAAGGTCATTCCAAATATCATAATAGCAACCCCCACCCCCACTTCCAATGAACTGTTCACAGTGCCTCCCAGAGCCATCACACATCCACTGCTGCTCATGCTTCCTGTGAGGCAGGCAGAGCTGGACTTACAAGCCTATTTTACAGAAGGGAACTATGAAGCCTCTAGTCATTGGCCTGGGGTGTGGCAGAGCCCTGTCTCTTGGCTCCAAACCTGCCTAGCTAACCTGGCTCTGTCCTTGCTGCCCTGACAAGAGGGACATGGCACACTAAGGTGAAGTGTTCCCTCACTCAAGCTGGAGTTTTGGGATCCCACACCCCAGGTTCCAAGCTCAATGCTACCATTTCCTGGCTGTGATCCCCGTGTGATTCTCCTAACCTCTTTGAGTTTGAATTTCCTCCTCTGTACAAGAGGAAGAAGGTGTGAGGGTGAAATGAGACCACAGCTATATAAAGTCTTATATGAAGAGGCTTGATAAGTCTTAGTTTTCTTCACTTAAGGTAAAATGTGAATTTGGAAATATATTCCAAATTACTGCTGTTGTTAGATGCCATAGAGTCAATTTAGATTCATAGTAACTTCAGGTGACAGAGCAGAACTGCCCCATAGTGTTTCCTAGGCTGTAATCTTTCAGGGATCCAATTGCTAGGTCTTTATTTTCATGGAGCCCCTGGGTGGGTGTAAACCACCAGCCTTTCAGCTGGTAGCCAGGTGCTTAATGGTTTGCCACCAGGGCTGCTTCTGAATTACAAGGGGAAGTTAATACTTAGGAGATTTCTTGCTAAACTGAAGAAATCCCTTAACTATCATGTTAGTAATAACAGTATTTTCAGTTGTAAAAGTCAGGGCAGGAAGAAATCAGATATGAGCAGGAAAGGGACCTGGGGAAGGGCCAGCACACAGGGCTCCCAGGATCCCTTCTGGGCTCTGACATGGGCTCAGATCCCTCCTTCTGGCTCTGGAGTCATCTAGCTACAACTGATACAGGACCTAGCTTCCTCAAATCCACCCACGAGGCTCCAAACCTGACATGGCAGTGTCACCAGGTGAGGGTAGTCACTCCTGTTCACAAAACAATATTGCCTCACATGTGCAGGGCATTCTCATAGCTCTGAAGGCCACCTGTACCACTTCTCTGAGCCTCAAACCAACCCTATGAAGAAGGCTCAGCATTGTTCCCATTTAACAGCTGGCAAAACTGAGGCCCAGAAGAGTAAAGCCTTGGTTGATGGAAGAGTTGGGATTTGAATCTGGATACATACCTTTTCCATATGTTTCCTGCCCTGTGTTACAGCCTATGTCCTGTGCACTACAACTGGTATCACCATGTCCACAAACACCACCAGTGCATCAGTTTGCTACCATCTCCAAGGCAGAGGCTGAGACTTGTTATCTGGGCCCAGCAGTCTGGTGGAAAAGTCCCCAGCCTCAAGACGGAAGCCTGGCTCTGCCATTTATAAGCAATGTGACTCTGGATAACTTTCCTTGGTCTCAGTCTCATTATTCATAAACTAGGGAAGTCTTACTACCCCCACCCCCTCCCTGCCTAGGACAGGAAAAATCACACATGCAAAGCATGCGTCCATGAGTACACTAAGATTATTTCTAGTTCTACCAAGGAAGCTTGACTAAACATTGGAGGGGGGGGGCACTGACTTGAGAGGGGGATGGGACACTGATCTGAGGATGCACCATTCCCCAAATTTGGCAGAGGCAGGGGACACGCTTCACTTACACAAAGCTGAGTCCAAGTCCTCTGTGTGCAGACGTCCTAGGGGCAAAGCAGCTTCCCCACCACAGGTCTCAGAGACAGTGTGTGCGTGAGTGCGGGTGGGGGGTGGGGTGGGAGCTCTGCCAGGCCACAGCACCTTTCAGGGAAGGTGGAGAGGGTGGGTGGGGGGCTCACCTTGGGAGGGACGCAGCTCCTCCACGAAGCTCTCGGCTGCTGTCTCCTCGTCCCACGCACCGGCCTCCACCACCTTGTAGCGGCTGCGAGGCTGGCTGAGCACGTGCGGGGCCTGCAGCGCCGCCTCACGCTCTGCCGCCAGGTCCAGGTCCTGCTGCGCCAAGTGTGCTCGCAGCTGCCGGATCTCAAACTGCAAGAGAAGAGGTGGGTGGGTATGCTGCAGAAAGAAAGACAGGGAGCCACAGGTGGGTGGCCGACTGGAGAGTAGGCCTGGAGTGGGCACAGACCTGCAGGCCGATGTCTGGGACGCTCTGGAGCTTTATTCTTGGATGGGTAGAAGGAGGGGAGAGGAGTGAGCTGGGCACCCAAAGGCTAGATGGTGTCTTTCTTAGAAATCTCCTAATGGCATTAATTGCAAGAGCTTCTTATGTTTACGGAGCCTTTACCTAGTAATGAAGTATGTTCTTTTGTCTTAGATAATGTTGTAGTCTGGTCTCACTGTGAGGACAAGAAACACAAATGTGGTTTGTGGGCAGAGCACTGGATGGGGAGTAAGAAACCTTATTTGAATCCTGGCTCTAGTATTTCCCCCCCATGTGTGACCCAGGCATGCTTTTCAAGTGACAGCTTTACTGAGGTGCCTTACACAATGATTCATAGAAAGCAGGAACCCCAGACATCTAGGGCCAGTATAACCAGTCGTGGGAGGCCAGCCTGGCACCCGATGCTGGCTGGTCTTTCCACTGGTTCATTTATTTTCTAGCACCATCCACTTCCCTCTTCTACAAGGTATTCTGAGGGGTAGTGGATGGTATCTACTCAGACAGGTCTGGATTTCAATCCTAGCCCTGTGGCTCACTGGCCATGTGGTCATGGGTGAGTTTCTTCACCTCTCTGAACCTCAGTTTCCTTATCTGTAAAATAGGGGTTTTCACCCCATACAGCTCTTTGAATATTTGGATGCTTCATAAGGACATTGTAAAAAGATGAACTTTTTTGAATTGATTTTGGTTTATTTTTTGTCAGAGAAAACTTCTTAGAGAGGCTTCCAGATGCTTTTTGGGTTTGTGGCTGTAATGGCTGCTTCCACTCTGGGAGGTACTCTTTGGACATCTGGGCAAAGGCAAAATTAGAATTGGTGATGGAAAGCCAGGCCCTGGAAGGGGAGCCTTCACTGCCATCTAGTGGTCACAGCACACAAAGCATCCCTTCTATACAACCCTTGCATCACAGGGAGCCATCCGCTGTCCAGGGCTCGGGCTCCCTACCAACTTGCCAAGGAGGCCAGATCTATCTCTGTAGCCCTGGCCACTCCCTGAAATATCAGACTTGCATTCTACCAGCCTGCCTGACAGCACCATGTAGTTGCTTCACAGGAATAACAAACTCAACCTGTTCAAAATGGGGCTCTTCACTCTCTAAACTGGTTCCTCCTGTATTTTCATCTCTGTATTTTATCTGCAGCACAAAAAAAAAAAAAAGTAATCACCTCCTTTGCCTCCTTGGTTTCCTTTACTCCAAAACCAAATCTGCCACCAAGTCCAGCTCTACCCCCAAGATATACCCCAAGCTGCCCACTCCTCCCGGTATTTCTGCTAGCTCTCCCTTACATACCCACAGTGGAACTATTCCTCAATTATTCATTTTCCAAGAGAGAATAGGGATTTTTCTCAAATCTAAATCAGGTCATGTAACTTCTTATGCACAAGCCTCAAAGGTTTACAACCTCATTTAGATGAAAACTCAAACTCCTTGGCTTACAAAGTAGGTGCAGCATCTGGCCCTGCCTTCCTGGCCAAGGTCATCTCATCCTTCCTTAAACTCACTAAGCATTTCAAGGGCACTTTCCTGGCTCTGGTAACATAGTGCCTAAGGCACTTGACTGCTAACCAGAAGGCTGGCAGTTCAAACTCACCAGCCACTCCTCGGAAGTAAGATGGGGCAATCTACTTTCGTAGTGATACTGCCTCAGAAACCCAAGAAAGAGTAGCTAAGAGTCAGGTCCGACTCGATGGCATATAACCACAACAACATCCCTGGCTCTGGGAGCTCTGGTAGCATAGTGCCTAAGGCATTTGACTGCTAACCAGAAGGCTGGAAGTTCAAACCCACCAGCCACTCCTCACAAGGAAGGTTGGGCAATCTACTTCCGTAGTAGATACTGCCTCAGAAACACAAGGAGGGGTCGCTATGAGTCAGGGCCGACTCGATGGCACATAACAACAACATCCCTGGCTCCTGATACACCCAGATCTCATGACCAGTCCCCTACACCAAGGCCTTCCCTGACCTAGGCACTCTATCACATCAGCCAGACAGAATTATCTGCATAGTATTTACTCCCTCTTGCTATTTTTGTTTATTTTAATGCTTTTATTTTATTTTTATGAAAATAAACATGCATACAATTAAAGCATTCAATAATAGGGTAATCACACAATAAAATGACACTGGGCCACCTCCAAATGTCAACATCTACAGATTTTGTCTCTGGGACCACTCCAAAGGTTTTGTTTTTTTTTCCCAGAGAGTTCTTGCCTGGGAATATAACTCAGGGTCCCTCTGTGCTGGAACAGGGCAGGGGTATGGGGCAGAGGGTCCCACTGCTAGGGGAAAGATGTTCACTTAATCCTTGTTTACAACCCTGCACCTCTCCCCAGCCCCCTGCCTAATCCAGCATCCACACATGATGCCTTGTCCTAGCCCCCTGCCTAATCCAGTGTCCACACGTGACACCCTCTGGTTCAATTGCTCCAGAGGATAAATCTCCCAACTCTTGGAGGCTGGGAGAGTGTCATCTCCTGGCTGTGCAGGATTTGGAAAGGGGTTTAGGGAGTCTAACTTCCCCTTTTCCCCTTTGAGCTCTACATCTTCCTTCCTCCCAGACTCTGGGTTTTATGGGGAAAACTGGCCCATTTCTCTCACTGGCCTCCTGTAAGTACTTTGGTTATAAATTCTCCATTTTACTAGATCAGTTAACACTTTCTTGTCTGCTCTCCATTTCCCCTAAGCCCATCGATCTACCTTTTATACTCTTTGTCCTGATGAGTTCTCTTATTTCTCATGTGCTAATTACTTTTTTTTTCTTTACTATTATTTTAGTGGAGTTTTGGGAAGGAGCACACATTAATATGGGTGGTCATGCCACTATTTTCTTCAAGGACTTACCTTTCCCTGACTCTAGCAGCATGCAGGTAAAAAAAAAAAAAAAAAAGTCTGATTTGCAGTGTATGCTAATTTCTGTGGTGTAAATACTCCCATTACGGCAGATTCCAAGCTACCAACATAATGTCATTGTAGCTGGGAAAAAAATGTGCATCACAGGCTCTCACAAGGCAGCGAAAGCTCTAGCACAACACTGTCACCCTTCCTCCCTCAACAGAATATAATCTCTGTAAGAGCAGGCAGGGAGCTATGGTGGCCTAGTGCCTAAGGCATTTGACTGCTAACCACAAAGCTAGCAGTTCAAACCCACCAGTCACTCCTCGGAAGGAAGACTAGGCAATCTACTTCTGGAGAGATACTGCCTCAGAAACCCAAAGAGGGATTGCTATGAGTCGGATTCGACTTAACAGCACTGAGTTGGTTGTTGGTTGATTAAGAGCAGGCAATGTTTTCTTTACCCGGTATCTATGTTGTTAGGCTGCCCAGGAGGCTCTGACTCATAGTGACCCTATGGACAACAGAACAAAATACTGCCCTGTCCTGTGCCATCCTCACAATCCTCACTATACCTGAGCCCACTGTTGCAGCCACTGTGCCAGTCCATCTTGTTGAGGGTCTTACCCCTTTTTATAGACCCTCTACTTTACCATGCATGATATCTTGGTACTTAAAAAATATTGTTGAAAGAATGAACAAATGAATGAATGGAACCAGTCAGCTTTACTCATGTCTGTGGTTTCAGACTGAGCCCTATCTCTAGCCACAAACTGACCCTTGACACTAGCCCAAAGCTGAGACAGTGATTGAGCCCTGACCCTGGTCATACACTGAGCCCCAACCTTAGTCTCAGTCAGATTCAGCTCTGACCATGGGCCCAGAAGGGGCTGAGACTCTGGCCCTCAGCCTCTCAGCATCATGGGATCATCGGTCTCAGAGTATGAGAAAGGAAGGCTGGCTCATTATAGGGTGAGATCTTATGCAGAGGAGCAGGGGAACTGCAGCCGCCCTTCTGGCAGCAGGGTCACAGAGGGCTCATGAGGCAACCCTCCAGAGTTCTGTGGGGGTTGGGAGCCCCTCCTTCCTTGGCTGACCAGAACTTCCTATGGATACACCCAGCCCACTTTTTCTCCAAGGCTGCTAATGGCCTCCCAGGCTACTCTGAACAGATGCATTATTGATGACTTGTAATTGATATGCTGCAGCCCAGTGAGTATCCCACTGGAATTCAGGCCAGACAGCCAGAGGCCAATGCTTGCCCAGCTCCAAGTCCACATGGGCAGACATAGGTACACATACAGAAGCAAGTTTTTCGCTAAAGATATAAACTCCGAGGGTGAAGTAGTTTCCCATACATTCCTTCATTCTGTCACTAAGAAGTTGGGTAAAGCATGATATGGGCTATGTTAAAATTCTGTTATGTGTTTTGGAATGAAAATGCCTCCCCCAGCTTGGAGGTAGGTCCTGGGAGGCCCCAGTAAGGGGACTTTCTGCTGCACTGCAGGGAACAAATCTCCTCTGAGAGTCACAGGGCTGGCTCAGGGGTGGTACCAGTGGCAGAGGAGGCAAGATGTACACAAGAGATAAAGGACCAAAGACCAAAGATGGACTGGAGAGGCTGGCAGGGCCACATCAGGCAGAATCTGTAGCCCTGGTTAAGATGTTAAAGATTTCAGTCATTATTTCAAGTGCAAAAAGAAACCACTGAAATCTTTCAAACAGAGGGTGGAGTGATGGAGGGGGTAACCTGGTGATTCAGATGAGCATTTTGGAAGGACTGTGCTGGCTGTATAGTGCCTAAGGCATTTCACTGCTAACCAGAAAGTTGACAGTTCAAACCCACCAGCTGCTCCATGGAAGGAAGACTGGGCAATCTACTTCTGTAAAGATTTATTGCCTCAGAAACCCAAAGGGGGTCGCTATGAGTCAGAATTGACTTGGTGGCAGTGAGTTTGATTTTGGTTTGGTGCTAGCTGCAGAGTGGAGAATGGATGGGATGGGGCCAGGTGGGTATAAGAATACCAGGTG